ACACAGTTCCTGCAACCGTTCTTCATATGTTTTAGCCTCCAGTCCCTTCATCATCTTTGTTGCCCGTCTCTGCATTCTTTGTAGAGTCTCCACATCTTTTCTACATTGTGGAGACCAAAACTGAATGCAGTATCCCAAGTGTGGCCTTATCAACGCATTATAAAGTGGTATTAACACTTCACGGGATCTTGATTCTATCCCTGTTTATGTAGCCTAGAACTGTGTTGGCTTTTTTGGCAGCTGCTGCACACTGCTTGCTCATATATAAATGGTTGTCCACTAGGAACTCCAAGATCCCTCTCACAGTTACTACTATTGAGCAAGGTACCACCTATACTGTACCTGTGCATTTTCCTGTAGAGTCGAGGGAGGAGTTACACATGGGCAGCCTGATTGGTCCAAAGACTGAGGGAATTTCTTAAATATTCCACCATTCCCTATTTGTTCACAGTTTCCTCTCAGTCTTTTGGTCTAAGCACTGCTTTGGCTCCTAGGTAGGAAATATTTAAAATTCATAAAAAATGCATTGAATATTAATTTGACTAATTGGTTAATCTAAAATGTTCAAAATTCTAAATTAACTGCGCTGCTGCCTGTAGGGACAATCGTTTCTGTCTCGCACGAGGTAGGAGAGCCAGTTGGGCAATTCCCTCCTGCCTCGTGGGGCAAGGAGCCCTGACCGATTCCCGGGCCGACGGGGGTGTCGGGCTCCACAAAACAGCCATAAAAGAGCGAGCAGAGAGCTGCGATCAACTGTGCGTGCCTCGTTACGAAAAAGGCACGCCGTGACTTTAAAGTGACCAGAGGCTTTTTGGCGCCGGCAGCCGGTCAGAAGGACCCTAGCAAGCTGCGGACTTCAGAGAACAATTTGGCAGCTTTCTGATGCTCCAGAAGCTCTTAAAACCCCCAGCCTAACGTTTTAAAGCTACAGTTGGTGGGCTCAAGCCGCAGCTATCAGGATCAAGCCGCAATTGTAATCCTTCTATGCGGTGCAATCAGAGCGTTCGGGAGCCATTTTACCTGCCATGTGGAGGCAGCCATTTTCCGATGCCTTGTGGTCTACTGTTT